CCCCCCCTAGGACAATATATATATATATATATATATATATATATATATATATATATATATATATATATATATATATATATATATATATATCAGGTCGACAAAAAAAAACTTCAAACAAAGGTCTTAGGGTAAAACCACCTATACCTGGCCAGCACCACTTCCTGGCCACTTTTCAAAGAAGTTTATTGTCTTAAATATTTAGTTAATATTTTTCCTAATTTTTTTAAAATGAAAATATAATTCAACTTTTATATTTGGAACCTCAGTTTTTTGCTTAAGATCATCGCTACGTTATTTTATCTGAGTTTGAAAATTATACTAATTTTGTATATACTATGGCAAATATTCCGACCTTGAAAACAAAAATGCGAAAAAACGTTTCGCTGATTTATCTTGTTTAATAATAATCATAAAATTTAATTCAATTGTAATGCGTTATTCCATTAACAAAAACATTTTACTTTGATTTGAAATGATTATTGTTTCGTTTGGTAGTGTTTATGTTGTCATTGTTGTTGTTTTTGTTACGCATAAATAATGACCTAATCGTGGCCATATGTCAACCTATTCTTGGCCATGAATAAGATAAAATTATAATATAAATTTAGGTAAAATAAAAATTAAAGTTTTAATTCTAAAGTTGAATCTAATTTTTATTATTTACATTATTTTTTCTATTTTATTATTTTCATACAAAAACGTAAGTAGTAATCACATAAATATAGCAAGTTTATGTTTTTTTTTAAGATGTCTGCTAATTTAAAAACATTAAAGTATTTCAAAGTCTATTGCTTGTTTAACTATTAAAAAAAGAATTGAATTTGCAAAAGAAAAAATTTATGCAGAATTTCATTAAACTCGAGACAATAAATTTGTTTTGTTTTTTATTTAAGTTTAAAAATATTGTCACTACTTTTACTTCGTAAAACGTGATGGCCAGGAATAAGTTCGAATGGCCATGTTTTAGATCTCCGGCCATGATATGGTGTTTTTTTACGCCTTGTTGTATTTGTCCTAAATCTTGTTAATTTATCGACAAACTTGTCATAAGTTGTATCTCTAGAAATTTTTTAAGAGTTTAAAAATATTTTTTCATGAACCTAAGCCATTCGCGGTAATATACAACGCAGTTTAAAATTAAGTGGCCAGGAATTGGGGGTTTTACCCTACCATAAAGCATAGAAACGAGGTCAACAGTTTTTTCCCAACCTCAAACACTTTAGGTCAGCAGTAAGGTCGGCATCTTACTAAATGAATATTATCAATTATCTTTACGGTATATTTTTTTCATATTGATTGAATTATAGAATAGAATATTATATTATTATATTATTATATAATTATTACTCTCTTATTTAAAATTAAATATATATATATATATATATATATATATATATATATATATATATATATATATATATATATATATATATATACATATATATATATATATATATATATATATATATATGTATATATATATGTATATATATATATATATATTTAATTTTAAATAAGAGAGTAATAATTATATAATAATATAATAATATAATATTCTATTCTATAATTCAATCAATATGAAAAAAATATACCGTAAAGATAATTGATAATATTCATTTAACAAGATATAAAATGTCCTGGAAAACGCAACAAAATGTCCTGGAATGTCCTGGAAATGTCCTGGAATTTAACTTTTAAAATTTTGTGGCCACCATATATATATATATATATATATATATATATATATATATATATATATATATATATATATATATATATATATATATATATATATATATATATATATATATATATATATATATATATATATATATATATATATATATATATATATATATATATATATATATATATATATATATATATACATATATATATATATATATATATATATATATATATATATATATATATATATATATATATATATATATATATATATATATATATATATATATATATATATATCTATCACTCTTTACATAGATTTATCACTCTGATTACTTATCTTTAAATTTTTTTTTTAAAATTTTATGTTGTATTGTATTCAAAAAAATAAACTGTAACACTTTTTTTTTTAAAAGTATTTCATATTATTTTACTGAGATTGTTTTTTTATATGATAGCTTATTATTTGTTTAATATATGAATGATACACCGTGGCTAGATTATAAGACTTTTGTCTTCTGCCTGCTCCCATCGCATCTTAACTAAAAAAAATATTGTAAATAATTTATTATGAAGATGACGAAATTTATATGTAAATTTCCCCGCGTTCTTTTATTTTTTAATAACGATCATTTATATATATTTTTGCAAAGCACTGTTTGTTCTACTTACAAGATTAAGGTAAACGTCTAAAAGCTTGTTTTTATAAGTTGCGCTAGTTTTTATCTGTCAGATTAGAATTGAGTTCGGTGTGTTTATTATTGTTAGAATGGGTTCAGTGTGTTTGTTTTAATTAAATTTTTGAGTAATATTTTTGACTTTTTTTAAAACTATATAAACAATTTTTTTTTATTGTTATTAATAATCATTTTAAAAACAAATTTAAAAGAAGGTTTGTAAAGTAATACATTTAGACGTCTACTGTATACTAAAAATTGTAGGTGTCGTAAAAGTTTCTTATGTATGATTGGTAGTTTTTTTCACATTTTTTGTTTTGCTAAATCTAACTCAATGATTTGGATTATTATCTTATTGTAAAATCTATTTGGAAGCATAAAGTTCTTGATCAAATAAACTTTCTGAACAATTGAACGGAGTTCATTGAACAATTTGAATGAACATTGAACGGAGTTCATTGAACAATTGTTCAATGAATTTAAAGTATCATGATACTTTAAATTGGTCGTCTATAATGGTTAATTCTGTCGCTACTGAATAGTACTTGTTCATAACATTTATTCGTCCAAGAAAAAGACTTTTGACCAGTCATTATCTGTAAAATTTTCATGATATTTTACAATTTTAGTGGTTTCTAAAATGAATGGTTTTTAAATAATACTTTTTAAAAGTGGTTAATGTTTAGTTGCAAAAACAGCTTTAGTTTTTGTCTTGAAGTCGTATTAAGTTCAACAATAGTTTTGCAAAACTTGTTCTTGAAATAATTTTCCAATAATCTATAGCTTCATATTACGCTAAATAAAATCTATTGAAGTGACTCTCCTGGTTTTGAAACAGCTCAATTTAAAAAAATCTTTCTGTACGAAAGAGTTTTTTCTAAAGCTCTTATAATTTATTTTAATATATTTTTAATAGTTCTTATAATATATTTTAATTTATTTTTTTAACTTTGTTTTTTCCCATGACTTTACACCACTTTTGATATAATATATCAAAAGTGACGTAAAGTCATGGGAAAAAACAAAATTAAAAAAATAAATTAAAATATATTATAAGAACTATTAAAAATATATTAAAATAAATTATAAGAACTTTTATTTTGAAAATAAGAAATTTATTATTTTGAAAATAAGAACTTTTATTTTGAGATATTATCTCAAAATAACTTAAACATAAATTTAACATATTACAATTATAATAATACATTGGCTATTAATTATGCTCTTGTTTACAAAAATTCGATTTATTCAAAAAACAAAATAAAGGCTGGTTTTTGATATATATATGAGTGGGTCAGAAGCCAAGGGGTACAAGTGACAATTTTACCAAAATTAAGTTAAGTATAGAATTTGATAGAAGAAGCAAACAAAATTGTTGGTGGCCAAGGGATACAAGTGAATCTCTGCCCTGTGCTGCTTTCTAATTGAAAAACATAACAACAGCTGCATATATTTAACAAAAATGCTTTAATTTTAAACAGCTGTATCTCAAAACTATGAAAATGTCACTTGTACCCCTTGGCTTCTGGTCCACTCATATATATTTTAAAACAAACAAAAAATAGTGAACAAAATTTTACAATATGTAATTTTTGTTGTTGTTGTTATTTAGGTGCCCCAAGAAGACCTAAAGGTCTTGTCACAGAGCACCGCGGAAGTGCATTAAACCAGGAAGTTCACGCCTCCTTCCTTACCGTGACGCGAAAATATGTCCAGAGCTCGTTTCGAACCTGGACATATTTTCAAAATTTTGAAAAAGTTTTCAAAGTTTTGCGTATGAGATTATGCATTTCGTTTTACTTAGAAATTTCTTTATATATACTTGGACTAGTTGTAAAGTCCTAAAGGAATATCAAATACGTTACTCATTTTAATCTAATATACAGTGATTGGTGTCTACTATTTTTCCAATAGGCACAAGACGTGTTTTAGACGTCTCCAACATGTTATCCCTCCGGAAGATTGAAACATTTTTGCATATAATAATAATTGCTTATAATATTAATAATCTACCCAAGACCATCTATTAATATCTACCAGTAAGAATAAACTACCACTTTTTGAAGAGCTTTTATTTTTACATAGTAATTTTTACATACACTATTGATTTTTAGATTCTATAAATTTCCTTAAAAACATCGTTTAGAAACTTTGATTGTGTGCAGTTAGTTAGCTGTTTTGTTAAGAAACCATTTTTATATTACTCCCCCTAATTAATATAGGTTTTAATATATAAAAAAACTCCTTTAAAACAAGAAAAAAAAAAGTTTTGGATCACCATAATTAGGGAAGTTTTACGCGCTATATATATATTTAAAAGTATATTAAATAATTAAATACGCTTTTTTAGACGAGCGGTCCAATAAATTTTTAAAAATTATTATTTCAAAAATAATTTTTAAAAATTTATTGGAAAGTAAATTAACCTTACTTTGAAAACCGTGGACGACGCGATTAAATGTTCATTAATATTAAAAATGAATTGCATTTTTAAATTACCAGAAAAGATAATCAGAATATTTAAGAAAACATTTCCCATCTTCCTTAATTTCTATAATCAATTTTTTAAAAAACAATTTTGCAGCGAAAAACAACTAAATATATGAAAGGAAACGCCTTAACAAAAACATTAAATTCATAAACTTGGCTTATTTTTCGACCACCGTACAATACAACTGATATGCAAATAAAAAAAACAATTGAGTATATAGCCTAATCGATGCTATGTACAAAATTAAGTCGTGAATCTCTTGCTTCATAGAATAGATTAATATAAAAATTTAAATTATACTTTCACGAACAAAATAAAATGGCGCTCATTGGTAATTTACTATTGTAAAGGACTAATTATCTCGACTCTCGATAAAATGTACAAAAGTAGACGCACGAAGATAAGTTGTACAAAATTAGAGATTAAATTAAATGTTCATTCATTAAAAAACGAATATGCTAAATGTACAATGGACTTGAAACAATCTTGCGAAGCCTGCTCCTGACGCTAACAAGAACAAAAAAAATTCTAAATAAAGAGGTAGCATTATGTTCCAGGCTCACTGCTATTACCAGTCTTTTCTAACTTAAGTTTGTCTAATCGTTTCCACAAGTCATCTCGATCCCTTTCTTTTTTCTTCTCCCTAAATTAAATATAAAATTTATCAGCGCAATTTTTTAAAATGCTTAAATGAGAAAAATGTAAACCAAAAATGTTCAGGAAAAAAAAAAAAAAAAAAAAAAAAAAAAAAAAAAAATACTTTTGTCTGTCAGCTTTATAAGACGCCGTCAAATCATCAAACAACTTGCTGTTCATTTCCATAAACGATTTTAAAACATTGTAAACAAGTGCGACAATTGTTCTAAAAAATATCATTTTAAAAATGAAGTTATTAATACATTTTATTCAAAACGACGCATAGACTATACATAAAACTCAACGTATTTAAATTACTGGTTCCAGTGATCTTTAGATATTCGGTACAGACATGAAAACATTATTGGTAGTATAACTGCTGAATTTTCATCAATTAAACTCATAATGTATTCATTGTTCCAGAAATAAAGAGCTCTTTCAGCCACCTATTGAAAAGAATAACATAGTAAGAAAATACTCAAACCATACAATTTACGGTTCATACAAATACTACACCGATTCACACCAGAGTCTGAAAAGTCATTTTTGTATACTTCGCGAAAGTCATACGTGCAAACGGCTGTAAAGACCATTTTACCACGTTTTTATTAGCTTGCTTTCTTGTTTGTTTGTTTGTCCGGGTGGAATTTTGCAACTCAATTTTAACCCACTTTTTGATTAGTTAGAGCTCTGAAACTTTTACTATAGCTCAGAACCCGATGACAATGCAATATTATATTACTTTTACCATGATTTGCCGAGTTTCTTGAACAATTTTAACAAAATAAAATTTATTATGGCGAAACTTTTGGAGGCGTCGCCGCAATTTGACGCGTCGCTTTAAATAAAAAGTTTTCGAACAAAAAAACCAAATTTAACTGTCGCTGTGATTTTAAATGGACCGCAGCATAAAAACAAAATCAGTTGTTTACACAATATAAAATTCCTCCCATCAAAAACTAAAAAGAAGAAAATAACATGACAAATAAAAAAATTATTTTTTTATTTATTTTCTACTTTTTAGTTCATTACAAAAACGTGGTTTTATAAAAAAGTTTTTTTATTTGTTATATTATTTATGTAATAATATAGTTTTAAATACTAATGATTTTTCTCAATAATGTAATTTTGATTCTTTTAAACGGAATATAAAAAGACTTGAAATATAAACCACAAAACCTATAACTGTGGGATTCAGCAACTACTTTTTTTCTATAAATATTATGTTATAAAAAATATTATACTTAAAAAAAATTAAAGTCAATTAGTCTAGCAAGAAACGTCACCAATAACATATTGGGGTGCTTAATTAATAAGTTACCTACTTACGTTTTTAACAACGCGGCTTTTAACAATTTATGTCAACTGTAATATCTGCGTTAATAGTTTGGCGTTAAGCTTAGACAAAAATTCTATTAAATTACACCAATTAAAAAATTGCTTTAGAAAACTTTACATAAATAAGTTGAACTTACTTTAAAGTTGCATAAGTGTACTTACAAATCAAATATTATTTAATGATAGTTCAAACTTTACCTTAAATACGAGTGTATTATTATAATATTGTATAAGATTATATGATTAAAACTTTTATACCTTTAGATTTTATAGTTAAGTATGGTAAAAGTAAACCAAGTCTCGTATGTTAGTCTCATTTAACAAAATTGATTTTCTAACTGCTCTAGTGTAGCCTTCTTTTTGATATTTGTATAAGTTCTTACTTGACTTCTAATTGTATTTTGCCTAGTCATGATTCATGACTAATAACATAGTATGTTATATTATTGAAAAAATAATAAAAATTGGTAAAATCTAATATATTTTACCAATTTTTATGAGTTTTTAAGTAATTTGTCTCGACAAATTTTAGACTCGGGTGTGGTCCGGTGTAGTATTCGTATACATCCTACAATTTAAATGGGTATTTTGAATTAAATACCTGGAAATGAGGACTAGAGACGCATTTTGAAATTTTTTTAAAAAGTGGTTCCATAACTTTTTGAAACTGACTTGCTTCAATAGCATCTAATATTTCTTCAATTTCACCCAAAAACATTACCTAAAAGAAACATTTTTATTAGAAGTTAAAAATGCGTGAAATTATAAATCCATGTTCCTGTCCCCACAAAAAAAATGATTGCATACAAGCATAAAAAAGTCATAGCAATATTTTATAAAACGATTAAAGATAAATATGCAAAAAACAAAAGATTTAAATTAAAAATAGAAGTAAAATAAAAATCGTTTTAAGAAAACTATAATTTTTAAACCAATAATTTTAAAAATATACAATTGATTTTGGTCTCTTTTCTTTTAAAACCACAAAAAATTTTATACATATGGAAAATTTAGACTCATCAACAAAAACTTTTGCAAAGAATTAGAAAACATTTGATAGTTTCTTCAGTCAGTTACTTGGAGTTTCTGGTTTTATAAAGTAGCATTTAGACATTTCAAAATGTTTTACTAGAATAAACGAAAAATGTTATACTAGAGTAAACGAAAAATAAAATGCAAATCTCCCTTTTATTCCTTCTCAACAATTTAACTCTAAAAACAGAATGACAAAAAAAAAAAAAAAAAAAAAAAACGCAGTTGGAATCAATATTAGGAACTCTTGCACAAAAGATGGTAGAGGGAAGTAATCTGGCATCCTATATTAGGCGGACAAAAAAAATGTAGTGTAAAAGAAATTTGAGTTGTAAAGCTAATGGTCTGAAAAAATAGGGATGATTGAGTAAGCTGTTTTAATGGACTAAATGGGAAAGAACTTTTCCAATTAGCCCACTTAAACTAACTGAGATAATAACGAGGTGATTTTTAATAGTTATTCTAGGGGTGGCGATAGCACATATTTTGATACAAAGAAGTTTAAATAACAGTTCAACCACAGTGAATATAGTTAGTTACCAGCCGAGCTGATAATCTGTAGCAAAGTGGAGTTTTTCAATCAATTAGCCTAGGCTGATGGATTTTTTGATTTACTAGTAAAGATGTTGATCAACTGGTAAAATGTTGAAGATTTTAAGTAACATAAATGTAATTGTGTCATAAATGTAATTAATCCAATTGTGCTTAGGTTCCCAAATAATAAGAAAAAAAGTTGGTTGGCAAAGATTTATAAAAGAGGTAGAGATGCACTAGTATATGGTGTATTTCAAAAAACAAAATTGCTTGACCAAATTAGAAATTTTAGAAAGAAATATCCTACAGAACTTTTTTTATAATTCAATGTTTTGCTTTGTTATTATTATTTTACTATTATTGAAATAACAGTGAACCTTTAAGCTTTGCATTTAATTAGCCATTTTGAGGTTACAACTTTAGATATTATAAATTAAGTATAACTATTTTAGAATCTAGAACTGATTTATTTAGGGACCTAGGGCTGAGTTTGCAAGGTAAACGACACAATTATGTTTCCTTTCAAAATACATTTTGTTTGTATTACTTTATTGAAAAAAGTGAACAATCGATGAAGTGTATCAAAATGAAGCAAAAAGAAGCTATCTGAAACATAATAATTTTTAAATTGAATTAATTTTGGAGTCACCCTGTTTACCCATTGCAGTATTTGGCAAGTATATTCCATGAATTGATGTTCCATTAGTTAAAAAAATGCACAATAAAAAAAAAAATACTGGTTCTTGCCAAGTCTATTATAAAGTCATTATAACCTTATATTATAACCTTTGTGCTCTAAAGAAATGTGAAATTATTTGACAAGAAGTAAATTAAATTGTTTCTTTTGATGATTCATTTTATTATGTTTTAGACCCAAGACCACACACTTTCGACATTTTTACTTATTTTTATTTTCACTAGGCATAATGGTCATGATCAATTTAAGAATACTTGAAAAATAACGCATTTTACAGACTCCTTAAAACTTGTGCAAGTTTAAAACTTTTAAAGATTTTTAATAAAATGCATGTCTAAAAGTTGCACACCAAAGTATGTAGTAATATGTGATGTGTGCTTTGTGATGTTTAAACATCTACAGTAATCCCTATAGAAAGGTCGTTTAAAGTTCTGTTTATATCTTAACAAATCGTAAGTGAAAGTAAAGATGTTTGTGTTGATTGGTTTAGATACAGACTATCCGGCCCGCAGTTAAATAAGATTTCTGAAAACATTTAATGAATATGCTACAAAATTTAAAAATCTATAAAAATTATTCAAAAGTCTTTTAGAAAGATCAGTGAGTTGTCTATTGATTTTATCATTTATAATTCGGAAAGTTAGAAAAGATTGTAAACTACAGATTTAACAAAGATAGTAGTTGTTTTCAATTAGAAATTAAAAATAGTTGTTTTTAATTAACAATTAAAAATAGTTGTTTTCAATTAACAATTAAAAATAGTTGTTTTTAATTAGCAATTAAAAATAGTTGTTTTCAATTAGCAATTAAAAAAAGTTGTTTTTAATTAGCAATTAAAAATAGTTGTTTTCAATTACGATTAAAAATAGTTGTTTTCAATTAGCCAAGTTGTTTAACTATGCTAATTGAAATTTATATCTATTTTAATTTTTAAACCTTTGTAATTTAAATAACAGCAGTTCTAGTCAACTAAAGTTTAGATAACTGCTTGTTAAAACTATAGTGTAAACAAACCTAAACAAACAAGCACCAATTCAAACAGGACAAAGAGATAAATGATCAAAACAATCCTTCATGACTTGTTAAAACATATTTTATTACCCAAAATGTCAAGGAGACAACTTTCAAATGATGTGGGCATTTTTTCATTAATTTTTTTCAATTGTGGTTACAATTGAAAAAAATTAATGAAAAAATGCACACATAATCAATCACCCCCTCTCAACTCTTTAATTCTCAAAAATTATTTTCAAGAAAACACTCTACGATTTTTATCTCAGGTGTAGTGTCAATCTCTATGAATTTCTTAAGTATACTCTTCTACCTTTCAGAAAAACTTGAAAGTTCAGATATAAAGATAACTTTTTATTTTTTTTAAATAAAAGAGAGGTCTAAAGGTTAAGAAAATAAAAACCTGAATGACCAGGTCCCAATGTGATAATCCTATCTGCAATGAACATTTATTAAGTTTGGTCAACTCAGAAAAATATATGTGATAATTTTTTTTTTTTTTCAATTATTTTTATTAAATATGTTTTTTGTTATTTGGTACACCTCTAATCATTTGTAGAAAAAAAAAAAAAAAAAAAAAAAAAAAAATTAAACCTCTTTTTGACTGCATGTTTTAGGCCAATACTTTAACAAACCCATTATCACCTAAAAAAGAAAGAAAAAGAAAATAACAATAAGAAATTATTAAATCAAGAAATCATACATAAAAGCTTATATTTTCGTTTATCAAAAAACTCACCGGTTCAGTAAGTGTAGAATCTTTCTCTAAAAATTGTACAACACAATATGCCAGCTATATAAAAAATAGAGAAGATATTTTAACTTACTCAAATTTGCTGAAGAATAAAAAGAATAAAAAAAGATATATTTAAAATCTATAGAGTAACCATGGGAATAAACGAAACCATACAACAACACAAAAATTATTAGAAATTTTTTTACACAAATACATAGTAGTATAAAGTTTCACAGTATTGACAAGGAATTGACAAATAATAACACAACTGTACGACAACATTTATTGATAAAGATATATCATTTTAAATAAAATTTGTCTAATAAAGCACATTGGTTTATCTAATTTGCAACAATATACATACATCGTTGATCCATTATGACTAATACATTTTCCTCTGGCTTTTTTTTATTAATTATTTTTCCCCCATGGCTATTACTTTTTTTCTACTATTTATTCAAAATTGTTTTTTATACAAACCTGCTTAATAATTTAAGCAAGCTTGAATATTAAGACTTTTTTTAAATTTAAACTAGATAAATATAATAAAGTTATATTAAAATATAGTCAACTATATTAAAAATAATTTAACTTAACATTACTTCTGTTTTAAAACTTGTTTAACTCATTATATAAACAATTTAATTTTTTAACCAAACATTGTAATCAAACAAGATATTGTATCACATGTTAATTTAGTTTTACCAAGAGGTTTTTTTTTCAGACTAAAAAATTTAAATATTTATAAAACCTAAAACTATTTATGTTTTTAAGTTTAGCAAAGTTTGTATACTAAGTTCAGATGTGGCACAAATTCATTTACACATTTATTCTCACAAAAACTGCATCATTGGATTGTTTCTCAAGGTATATTTAGACTTGCAGTTAAACTACTGTTTTTCTTTGTTTTTTCTTAACAGTAGAATAGACAATAAATTTAGACTTGCAGTTGACCTGTTTTTCTTTGTTTATCATAAGAGTAGGAATTACATCATTCAGGCAAGATTAGACAATTATATTATAATCTTTTTCTATTCACAAAAAATAAAATAAAATTAGCATTTTATTTTATTTTTTGTGAATTTATTGTTGATAAATTTTTGTTTCTCAAACAAATGTTTTTTAATTTTGTTGCTAAAAATCTGATCGTTATTATTTAAATCTTTCATAATTTCAATTATGAAAAAAATATAAAAATTTAATAAAGGCTAAAGTTTAAAGATGATAAAGAATTAAAGTTGATTTTGATCATATTTTGATTCTTTTAAACTTCAACAGCACAAAAATTCTACTTCTTAGATTGAACAATTAACTCAATGATTCAAATTTTAAAAAATTTCTAATACAAAAAAATAATTAGAAAAAATTGACAACATGTTAGTTTTAAAGAACTTAGATGTTAACTTAAACATCTGATAATTTAAAATACTTTATTTATGAAAATTTTTTTTAAACAAATAAAAATAGTAAAAGTTGCATTAAAAATTTGTTTAAATCCTTTTATAACTACAGCAAAATTTATGTTTATTCGAATTTATATTCAAAAGAGAGCTGTCATGGTGGAGATCACCATGACAGACTTTATCAAAACTTAGGATATGTTAAAAGCCTTGTTCCACAACATTGCTGCTTGCCTCAATGCACTTTTCTGTTATAAGAGTTAACATATCAGCAGAAGAACAAGAAGATTGAAATCTATATCATCAGAGAGAAAGCTGTTGGAATCAAGATGAGATATAAGCCCTTTAACAGTAACAGTTAATTTTTTTTTTATTTTCCAGTTAATTTCAGTTATTTCTTCATAAATTTGGTATATATTATTCTGCTATCTTGAAGATTGATTGACAATGATTTTTTGGCTTACTGATAAATAAAACAGCATAGAATTGCTAACTTTAAATATTTGTAAGATTGCACCATGTGGTCAATGTATGACATACAGCAATGTGTATTAAGTAGTGTTAAATGCCGACCTTGATTCAAAAGCAGGATATGATAATTACAAAACAATTTAGCTTGAGATTCTGTTTAATGAAACCATATAACTCTAAGTTAAATATTTAAATAAAATACAAACCTGTGCATGGTACAACAAAAGACACCTTGCTTTGTGTAGTAAAATACAAACCTGTGCATGGTACAACGAAAGACACCTTGCTTTGTGTAATGGAATTAAAACTTTCAATAAAAACTGTTTGTGTTCTGCTTTCAGAGGTAATGCAAACCCATTTATAATACTAAAAAACAATTACTTTACATTAAGTAAAACTTACATAAAATATCAAAAAAAAAAAAAAAAAAAAAAAAAAGTTAAAAAAGATTAAAAAATTAGTTTAAAAAAAAGAGAAAAAAAAAGGGTAATAAAATGCAAAGAGATCATGATTTTTAAAGGTAATGCATAAATAATATGCATGCTTAATATAAGTAGATGTATGCATTTCATAACACTTTATTATGTTAAAGTATGCATTTTATAACATTTAAAAATAGAGCAAAAATGAATCATCTATATGCAGAAATACAAACAATAAACTCATGTGAATGATAACATTTATAGTCATTTTTTGGTTTACAAGTAAATGTCTTGTAAATTGTAATTGTAATTTCATAAACTAAGCAATAGCCTGAATAATCATGTTGTAAACTTGTTATTATAATAATTTAAAAAACTTATAACATTTTCATAAATTTTTATTTAGTTTTATAAAAAGGTAACCAAAAAACATAATTTTTTTTATGTTTAAGCAACAATAATAGAGTAGCGTTTAAAACACGCACAGCAACAAATTGGAAAAATTCATACCTTCCTAATATTTCTAACAACTCTCCCACACCACTAAAGTGCTCTGTTTCATATATAAATCTAAAAAAAAAATAACTGTCAACAACTATATAAAAAAAAAAAAAAAAAAACAGCAACAATTAAAAGAGTATAAAGGTGTCAAATCAAATAGTAAAGAGTTTTAAACTTTATTTTTAAGTTATAGAAAACTTTGAGCTGCAGTTAAATTTATAAAAATCTAATTTTTTAAAGAAACTTTTATTTAATCAAAAAAAACAAAAATTTTTTATTTTATTTTTAAATTTGGGGAGAATCAAACTTTGCAAGTCCATGGGTAATTAAAAAAACATAATTAAAAAAAACAACCAATGATAACAATTTAAAAAAAATATAATTATGTTGAGTCATTAAGAGGCCTCTGCAGGTTGAGTTGTGCTGCACACTTTGGAGCAAAAATACTTTGTGCCTTTTACTTATTGCTTTGTATTAAAGTTTTGCTATTCTTATTGTAGTAGAATGCAGGCATTTTAAGAATTGTTAAAAACAATTATTAAAATGACTGCGTTTTTTATTTTAGTTACAATGATAATTAAACTTTTGAAAGAAAAAATTATACTTTTGCAAGAGCCATAAATTGCTCCTGTAAACTATTTTAGGGGAGTGTGGGTAAGAGCGAGAGCTAAAGCTCTCACTTCCCACCACAGCCTGCAAATGTATTAGCAATTTAAAATTTTCAGTGATTGATTTTTTTAATGTTGAGTGGAAACAAGCCATTATTTTAAAATCCAGTGATGTAAATCCAGTTGCACATAAAAACCAGAGCTGAAAAGTTTTGATTAAAGCATTCTTTTGATAAATTGCTGAAGTTTGTTTCTAGAACTGTTAAAGTAATTTCTACCAAACTCATTTGAAATGGCACCAAGCACATCTAGTGGCTGCAGCATCTGTAACAAATGAGCTCATAAGCAAATTAAGATATTACCATAAGCAATTTAAGATATTGTTTTTGATGCAAAAAAGTACAACAATTGTGTTGTTTGCCATGATTACCAGAAGTCAACTTTATCAAACTTTTCCACAAGCAACATAAAGCATTTTCGTTAATACCTTTAATGCTGAATTCGCTTTGTAGTTCGATAAAATAGTTTGCTACTTTTTGATGTGGACTAAAAACAACTCTGAGTGATTAAATATTGCCAATTGCTGTGATGCTCAATTTATGACGATACTTGTTGATGAAAAGCTTCTACCAATCTCTCTCTGGTGTAAAATTGAAAAACAGAGATTGGTTTTTGTTTCACCCAAACCAATTAAAGAGTTGCTACTGGTATGTTGATGATTCAATCAAAAAGCAGCTTTTTGAGTGAATACTTACCACTTTGTACTTCAGCCACTGCTAGTGCAACTTACTTATCTGTGTAGTTTTTCTTTTTTCTTTGAATGCATCCCATATTTTATATTAGAATAGATTTAATAAGATATATATAATTTAACAATGATTCTATATAAATTTATATAGAATCATTGATCAGTTTAGACACGATATAAAGCCACTTTATCAAGTTAACAACATTTTCATTTAACCACATAGTTCACGATTTCTATTTTGAACTTTTTATTGAAAATACCAAAGTCTATTCTGAAAAAAGATTCTCAACATAAAAATACAAGGATACATTTAAAGTTCACTGACAGCAAATTTTACTTCTAAGAGTTCACCAAGAGTTTAATGCCCATTTTTCAAAAAATAAAAAACAAAAATTTAACAACTTATCAAAAATAAATAACTTGGTTTTTAATAAAACTTTATATACTCTTAATCAAAAAAAGATTCTATACAACATGAAAAATATCTACAAAAGGTTTATTCAATAGCTAACAACAAAATAAACCTCATTTTAACCTGGTTTACTCTATTTTATCTACGGCTAAATGATAATTAACATTTATTAATCATGATAAAATCAAAAGCAAAGTTAACAGAAACTTTCTTACTTTAGAAACATATGATTAATTTGTTTTCTGATATAAGCCCGAAGCCCGAGAAATTTTCCATATATTCTGTGTAAAACTGTCTTTAAAAATTCCCGCTCCCTCGGATCTTCGCTATCAAACAGTTCTAAGAGCTAAAATAAAATAAAATTAAATGTATAAAAACATAAAAATACACAAATACTCCAAAAAAAGCACACATACATCTAAAATTATATATTATAAAAAAATCTTTCAGCAAATTTTAATAATTAAAAATTCATATTATTAAACAAAAAATTAGAAAATTTATAAAACATTAGGTATTAAAATAAAAAAACAATAGGTTAAATTCTAAATTAAAGTATTAAGACCTCTTCAAAAACATTTATATGGCAAGGGCAAATTAACTCAAATTTACCAGAAATTTTTAAAAGTGAAATTTTTTGTAGAAAAAACAAATTTATTGCAACAAAATTAAAGTTCTTTTACAAGACTATCACATCTATTGTGTTTTAACTCAGAAATATAAAAATTAGCGATTGCTTTAAATATAATACTTTCAAGATTGCTAATTGACTTTGGCCAATCGCAACTTGCAATTACTTAATTTGACCCTTGAATAATATGTATGTGGTAGTAGACTAGTGCTAAAACTTTTAACTCACAATCAAGAGGTTTGAAATTCCAATTTCAAATTCTGAGATATAAATAGTATTGTTATCATAAAACAAGATTATTTTATACCAGTAGGAAACTTAGTTTAATTTATTCCTTTCAAACTAACAAAATATTTTTAGTTAAAAACATTCAATTTAATTTCATATTCTATTGCAGTTGTGGCAAATTTATACAGTGAGATAGTAATTAGCAGAGGATAGATGTCTGATACTGATCTTAATTATAAAAAAAATAATTTAAAAAACATGTTTAGTTGAATTAAATTATATGGCGTTTAGAAGTTAGATGTCATTGAAAGATCTATTACCTATTACCTAACTGCAAAAAAAACTCAATAAAAAAATTTCTTAATGCCACAAAACATGACCATAAATATAATCCTGCAAGCATTACTATTAACCAGATGTTTATTGTATATTATATATATATATATATATATATATATATATATATATATATATATATATATATATATATATATATATATATATATATATATATATATATATATATATATATATATATATATATATATATATATATATATATATATATATATATATATATATATATATATATATATATATATATATATATATATATATATATGTATAGATGAATTATGTGTTAATATATAATATGTAATAATATGTATTATGTATAGATGTACTATTAACCAGATGAAACATAAAAAATCAAATTTTGCTTTTGAGTGTTTATAAAACTTAATACACACACAGATACGTATCTTTTAATTAATAATTATTAATTAATTAAAAAATACGTATTGATCGCCTGCTCAAACCAAAATCCTCAGTCAATGTAGCAGCAATCCTCGTATGTTCTACCTATTTGTCAGTTGATGTACCAGCACTCCTTGCATGTATTACTTATTTGTTAGTTGATGTACTAGTACTACTTGCAAAATTTAAATTTTTGTAAATATTAGGATGTGAATAAGATTATTGGATAGAATGAATGCCAATACAAATTCTTTTGAAATGGATGTCAAGATGTGTTAGGTGTTTTTATTTTAAAGTAATTAAAAAAATAAATAATTTTGATATATATTATTTTAACCTTAATAGAACAAAAGTGTACATATAAAGAATCACTCTCTCAATTACTTTAAAATGTGCATATTATTCAGGGATGCGAAATCCCAAAAGGACTCCTGCTTTATATCTCTACTTTTTCCAAGCCTGTAGTGTCCAGAAGTTCTAAACATGTTTGTTGACTTATGATCTGCAATGGGAAAAAAATTCATGAGATTTAATGACTTGAAACTTATTTTTTTTAAGCCTGGAGTCCTTGCCGCCATTGTACCAAAAGGACTCCGAGTTCAAAAAATGATTGTAAAAGTCTTAATTTTTTTCCTATTAGTAGTCAATAAACTTACTTATATTTTTAGAGCTCCTGGATACCAAAAACTAGGATAAAGTAATTTTTTTGTAACTTTCAAATCCCGAGTCCTTTTTTTTGACTCCGCATCCCTGATACTATTACATCATATAAAAGTAGAAAAATGTCATTATTGTAAATTGCATTTTTGCAATTAAATTCAAAGTTAAAAAATTATGATTGTTAAAAATGTCATTATTCTAACCTTAGTGGCCTATAACTCAACATATTTTTGAAATTTCGTAAATCGCAGATTATGACGTTTTTGATTTTCAAACAAAATTTTTTTACTTTTATATTAAAACCTAATTAAAACATGTACAAATAATTTTCCAACATACTAAATCGTTGACATACTGAATTTTCAACCTACTAAATATTCAACCTATTGTATTTTCAATTTTATAACTACGCCTTTGGGTATGTATTTTGTATATTTTGTTGTTGATTTGAATACAAGTCAAATTTGATCAGCCTTGGCGCAGTGGTTGAAGAGCTGTCTTCAGAATCAGGAGGTATAAGGATCGATGAATGCTTGGAAAACTTATTGATTGTTTATTAAAAAAAATTTTTTTTTTCGTAGTTTAAAAAAACAATGTTTAAAACACAGACCAGATAATCAGTTAAAAACTAATTTATCTCAAATTGGTTAAAAATAAAAAATCTATAAAATATGTTGAAAAAAAAATCGGTCAAAAACGAAAAAGTCATAAACCGGTTGAAAATAAAAAAAGACTATAACTGGTTGAAAACAATTTAGGACTCAGTCGGTTTTCTGAAAATTAGTTCCACTTTTTAGTAGATATTTTTTTTATAGAACAACTTAGTAGGTCAAGATTTTTGTAGGCCTAACTATCTGACACGCTAACCTTAACAGAATAAAATTGTACACATTTCTTTAATTGAAAAAAAAAAAAAAAAAAATTGAAACACTTAACAGCCTTTATATGGGTTTTTAACTAATTTAGATGAAGACTTCTAAATGAGCTAAAAACCCATTTAAAGGATAGCTATTAAGAAGCAAGTCAGAAAAAAGTAAAATTAACTTTACTGTTAATACAGATCATATCTCCCTCACACCAATCATCTTTAAAAATCATTTAGTTAGCTCTACAACAATAATATTTATTGTTATATTGTTGTATTAAAAATTACAAAACAAAATTACTTGCAGAACAAATTTAAAAATTACAAAACAAAATTACTTGCAGAACAAATTTTTGATCAATATATTTTTTTGCAATTGTTGGTTGAAATTCTGGAGATTCCAACACCCTTAGGAAAAATTCAAACACCACCTAAACAAGAAAATAATATTATAACAACAAAGTATTACTTAAAAATTAATAGGTAACTAAATTTAAAAACTTAGTGTAAGGACACAAAAGTTGATAAATTTCTCAAATACACAACAGTTTATATATATAACATTTATCAGAACAACAATAAAATTCCCTAGGATATTTTTAGGTAACTCAAGCATTTGTCAAGTAACAATAACATTTAAGTTGATAACATATCTTATATCCTTTCAATAACTTATATTTCATGCTTGTATTTAAAAATACAGTATTGGCCAAAAGTTTGAATCCACCTCTGAACTTGAATACACAAAAACACAAAATATAGAGCACAAATAGATTAAAAGTATGAGTCAAGCAATTTTTCTAACAATCAATCAATAGTATAACAATATAAACAAATTACAAATAAACAATGCAGAAAATTTTCAGTTTTGGCCAAAAATTTGAGGTGGATTCAAACTTTTGGCCAATACTGTATATAACAAGATGCAAATTAATTAATCACATCAATTGTGAATTCTGGAAACATTTCTGGTCTTCCAATTTTTAGTTTATTAACAACCATGAACACTGTTTTAATGAAATGGTCAATTTATTAAATTGCAAAAATTAATGAAAAAACAAAAAAATAAATTTACTTATTTAATAAAAAAATAAATTTTGTTAACTTGTTGTTTATTTAGACAAGTTAATTCAAGTATAAAAAAGTTTTAAGAAAAAAAAAATAATCCTTAAAGGTCCGAAAAATATGTTCGATAATTTAGAAATCAATGAATAAAAAATTACACTAAATCTTTTTGAACATTTAAAATAATTGATACTTAAAATAATGATAAAAAAGATATACTTTGAAATATGTTATTAGAGTTTTTTTGCTTTGTTTTAAAATAAATAAGTGGTTTAAATTAGTTTTTATATGTTATTAAAATCCTCTTTAATTTTATATAAATATCTGTATTATAGAGTTGCAAACATTTAATTAACGGTGATATTTGATTTACGGTTTAATTAACATTTAATTAACGGTGATATTTGATTTACGGTTTAATTAACGGTTTAATTAACATTTAATTAACGGTGATATTTGATTTACGGTTTAATTAACATTTAATTAATGGTGATATTTGATATACGGTTTAATTAATAACGGTTATATTTGATTTATAAGAAAATATTGAATAAGATTTAAATAAGATATAAAAGTACTCTGTATATTATTTTGTCATTTTTTAAATTTATAAAATTTAACCATTGTTAAAATATCGTATTGAATGCTTTAATTTTTATCTAATGATTTATCAAACAAACTCATAGTTTTTAATAATAATAATAATAATAAAAATAGTAATAATAATAACAATAATAATAATGGTTTTATAATGAGATTATATACCATATTTTCAAGATCAATATAAACATTTTTTATTGAATAACAACTACTGAGTTTAAAAAACAGAGTTTATGGTTTTTAAAAAAGTAAAAATTTAAAGACCGGAAGCATTCCCAGATATCATGATTTGCGATCACTTAATTTGAGCCTTGTATAATATACTTATATTTTAATAACTCAATTTGAATGAACAGCAAAGTGTAGCAAAATGTAGCATTGTTTGTAAAAAATACTTAAAAAGGGTTTGACCTATAATACTTTACAGTCGATTTTTTAAAAATATTAATTTATCCCCTATAAGTTGAAATTTTTTTTAAAGGTTGCAAGCAATATGTGCAAAGTATATTAGGATAGTTCATATATTTGTGAAACTTTTGTAAATATTGTATAAGAAAATTATTCATTATTGCAAACAAAAAGATAAAAATGACAAATGACACAACAACAACAATAAACAACAATTAACAAATTTTATTATTTTGTTGTTGTTATTTTATTAAAAAGCAAAACAAAATTAAAATAATCGCTTATAATTAATACTTAACTTAACGCTGCTGCTGCTGCTCACAATTCGTGCACCTTTACACGGACTTTTTTACCATACTAGGCCTTTGAGTTTTATTATAAATTGCTTTACTTCTGAACTCGCGCAATGAGGCTCTTTCAAATCTTAATAATCTGTCAGTATCTGCTTAATCAGTAATGAGATCAAAAACTTTGTTTCATCAGCTTAATTAGTGATAAGATCAAGATATTTTATTTGATAACTTCCGTAGTAAAGGATGAACATTATGTTATTATTGAATTAGTAAAGTAACTTTATTATTGAATTAGTAAAGTAAGTCAGGTGATTTATTTAAATCATGCATTTTAGTCTTTTGTCAATTGTATTTAAATTTATTAATTTATAAAATTAATCTGTAATTTTTAAATTAAAAGACGACTCAAGAAGACGTTGCTCATTTCAAAGGTCAAGAGGTCAAACTCTTGATAAAGTTAGTGTTTAAAACACTTGCATCTCACACGGTCAACTCAATGTTACATGTTAAAGAACAAGATTGTTTAATACCTTAATTAAAAGAAGTTATAAAAATCCGTATAAAAAACCAGATTGTTTGATAGTTTGTTTTTGAAAGTTGTTAAACATTTATTACGAGGTATTTCAAAAAACAAAAATAAGGTTGTATTTGTAAAGTTTCAAATTTATATATTTTTCTTAATTTATATATTTATCTATATATGTGTGTTATTTATATTGTGTTTTATTGTGTATATATGTGTTAAGGTTATATGGGTTTATATTTTGTAAGTGTGTAAATATATGAAATGTTTCAATGTTTGTGGTGTGTTATATGTAATATGTTTATAGTTTGTAAGTGATAATTATGTTGTTTGCATGGTTTCAAATCGTTGTGACTGGGCTTAGTTTACAGCAAGATTGTTGAGCTTGCTAGCCAAGTGGTGTACTTTGCTATAATGTGACCTGGCTTTGTTGAGAGCAAAAATATTGTCCTCGCCAGCAGAGTGGTGTATTGTCATAATAAAACACATAAATTAATTCTGTTTGTAATTAGTGTATTTCTAAAATTTGTTGAAAAAATATTGTTGAAAAAATGTGTTTTAATGTTGTTATCCTCTGTTCTTAACAATGTATGCTTTTGACAATAAATAAATTTTGTTAAAAAGCAGGCTTTACTAACAGCTCCTCCTCATTAAAATTTTTAAGAGTTTCGATTTTCTTCATTAAATATGTTTAACTCAAATTTTTTTTATATATATAAAAGTAAGTATACAGCGTGTTGAAGCATAAGTTTTAATAACTTTTGTTAAATTTTTAGGATTTTTTGTGTAGAGAATGTTTTCTTTATATTATTATTTTAATGTTTTGTATGTACATCAATATATATATATATATATATATATATATATATATATATATATATATATATATATATATATATATATATATATATATATATATATATATATATATATATATGTATGTATATGTATATATATATATATATATATATATATATATATATATATATATATATATATATATATATATATATATATATATATATATATATATATATATATATATATATATATATATATGTATATATATAGACACACACACAATAAAATATATAGAATTAAAATGTCTATACATATATTATATGTATAGACATTTTAATTTTTTTGCCTTAAATTATTGTCCCTTTTTCTTTAGAATATTAAATATCTAAAAAAAAAACTAAAATAGTAAAAGAAGTTTCTATATTTCCAAGTTTCTTCACTTGAAGCAAATATATGATTGTTTATAGAGGTTCTTTTAGTAGTTTTGTATTTATTTATTGCAAATCTTGCATTAAATGCCTTTCAAAGTAATGAAAGGGTTTTGTTGATGGATGATTACATTTTATCCTTCCATGCTAGCAGTACTTGCTGAGTTGACAGGCCTTAAATTTTTTTAATTTGCTTTATTTATGAGTTTTTATATGTAAAAAATTTGTTTTTTAAATTACATTTGTTTTTTGTTTTTTTTTTTTGATTAAATACTTATAATATTTTGTCAATAATTAATAACAACTACCATAAATATATAAACAATACTTAGTTGAAAATATTATATTAATTTATAACTTTAGTTTAAGTTTTTAATAAAACTATGTTATCTTAACACAATGCTATATATGGTAGAATATAATAGATTATCGTATTATGCTCTGTATTATTTGCTTACACTTTATTTTAGATAAGTTTAAAAAAGAAACTTCAACTTTTATTATATTAGGCATCATTTTTACACACTCCTTTGATGCCTAATTATGTCTAATAATTTAAGAAATGAAATTATTAGACTTCGTCAAAATGAAAGAAGGCAGGCTAGGCAAGCTGAGATAAACCGCCGTCGAATTGAAAGAGATGAGCCCCGGCGAGCTGAGATAAATCGTCGTTGAATTGAAAGAGATGAGCCCCAGCGAGCTGAGATAAATCGTCGTCGAATTGAAAGAGATGAGCCCCGGCGAGCTTAGATAAATCGTCGTCGAATTGAAAGAGATGAGCCCCGGCGAGCTGAGATAAATCGTCGTCGAATTGAAAGAGATTAGCCCCGGCGAGCTGAGATAAATTGTAATCAAAATGAAAGAAATCAGGCTAGGCGAGAACTTAATAGGTATAATATGCATCGCATAGCAAGAAATAATATTGCTATAGAGAGTAACTACCTCGGAGAATTAAACCATAATTGTCAGTATTGCAGTGCAAAGAAGTTTTTAAATGAAACTCATTTTTTGTGCTGCCATTCAGGAAAAGTTGCATTAGCTCCTCTTTCTCTTTATCCGCCATTGTTGACTGGTTTAATGACAGGAAACCATGTTGATCATGCTGTAAATCAAAATTTTTTTAAAATTTTTTTGATTGTTTTTATTGCGTGTTTAATTTTCTTTTATTTATCTCTAGCTGCTGCTTCTTCTGTTACAAGTAAGTTGTTATATTCACTTATACTTGACTTAATTTATGGATTAATTGGTTTTATTGCATTTTTAAGTTTCTTTTATTTATCTCTAGCTGCTGCTTCTTCTGTTACAAGTAAGTT